GTTTTTTGAGTATATTCTTGTAGAGGAAATCAAGTAGATTATTTCTAGAAAAAACCCGAACTCAATATTCAATTTCTATCGAGAGAAAAAAAGCCGCAAAAAAATCCGCAATAATTATGCATCAACCTAATAATTACTGAGCTCACTACAAATGTCGCAAAAACATACCTTTTTTTTTGAAAAATGGAGAGGTACTGGTTACTCTGATCAATTAATGTAACTACTCATAACCTCACATCGCTTTCCGAGTTAGTGTAATCCATTTTTGGCTTCTAAAGTGTATTATGTTTAAAATCAAATTTATGGGAGAAAGAGCTCGTGATAACTCGATTTAAACTTACCTTAAACTGAATCTGATGAAAGTTTGGGGAAAATAATGGAAATCTCTATTAATGAAAATGGAACAACATAGGATAGCGTGGTTCAACGGTAAGCGAGAAGTTCTGAAACGCGCTTGTTCTGCGCTTCCCACACACAAAAAGTCTTGCTATCGTCAAAGGTCAGATTTGAGAGATAGTCTTTCTTGACAGTGTGAAACACTACAAACATGTGTGTAAGATTATTCGTAGATCATAGTATTTAATCTGCATTTCACTCTGTTCAACCCGAAATTTTTGTTAACGTTTACTGGAAAGAACATCCTTGCATCCCTTTCTAAACGTTCTGTATGTGTTCTTGAATTCCTTCTACTTGTGTCGCTCTTGTACTTGTAGCCTTTTTTTAAGTTCGGGCGTCGAGAAGAGTGACACTTTTTCGTACTCTTAAAACAAAGTGCTTGACCAGCCACAGGTTAAGTTCAGTTTTTCCTTTCATGCCAACCGTAGGAGCGCTTCAAAGTGCCGACAAAGAAAACTTGGTACTACTATGTTCGTTTCTAATTCGAAATTTCTTTTTGTAGGTCCATATGCAGCAAAAGAAATGATGATGTGGACCCAGTCAGGATATTTCAATGACTCTCTCCTAATCCGCACTGAACATGAAGAGCGGTTCCACACTTTGGGCGAATGGACTCGTGTGTGTGGTGGCAAGGTAATCATCTCACATCATCGTGAATCAAAGTCACTGATTTAGAAATGGTTCTGAGAACATTTTGGGCTTCATTGCTCGCATTCTCTATCATTAGAAGTTCTGCCGTGAGTAGGCTCAACGTGCATGTAGTTAACCTTTTTCACTAGCTCACTCAGGCTAATTTATCTGAGGTAGTAAAGTTCGTTGTTTATTAGCTTCAGGAGAAGAGTGGCGTTCGCAATTGAATAAAATCGGCGGGGCTGTTACAAATCGATCAAAACTTATAGTTAGATAATTAAATACAAATGAAAAGTAGTAGTAGTTTGAACTAAAAAGAGTTTTTGGATAACAGCTTCTTAAAGCTAGTGGAAACGCCCTTTTCACTTTTGTTGTCTGTATAGTCAATGTGTGCTTTCAGACTTGAACGACTTGCGTTGTTTGAACTGCTGGCCACACTTTGACTACGAAGGACGTATTACATTCAATAATCGGTATCGATCGGTGTCCAGCGTGGTCAAGGCGTGGCCAGCAACAGTTGCAGTGGTCGTAGTCAATCGCACGTCGATTGAAACAACGCACGTTGTTGAAGTCATGAAAGCGCCCAATCGCCACCGCTCGAAATAGTTTGCACCTTACAGCCTTCATACCTCAACTTAATGAAATGGCTATCCGAAGTTCAAATGTGTTGGAAGACTCAGTAATCTAGATCATCTACAATTGAAAAAAAAAATCGTTTCTTTGATTTGCAGTTCGTTAAACATTGTTTTTCTGTGCCTTTATTCGCCATATGTCTAAACATAAATTGTATTAGGTTCCTTTCGTGCTTCCGGTAGTGTCTATGGAGTCTCTCGTAGGTCCGATGGGACCTCGCTTAAATCCTGTAATGATTGGAATGCTTCCTCCAGGTCTACCACCTCCATTTCCTCCTCCAGTACATGGAAGGTAACCAGTTTGAACTTCCTTGACAAGTTTTATGAGTTAGCAATGCTTTAGGCTGTCAAATATATCGTAATTCCTCTTGGAAGACATTTAGGAACTGTTCCCTTTCTAATTTACCTTTTTCATGCATTTCCAGTAATTTTTACAAATTTCATATTCTTATTTTATGTCTTTTAGTGAAGTAATTTCGAGGTGACGTGGTATAGGGGTAATGACACTATCGCACACATGGTTCCGGAATCAATACCCTCCCTGATCAACCGACCTGCATAATCGATACTAGACCGCCTAGGAACTGAATACTCTCTCTTTTATGTCGGTTGGCCATCGGTAGTCACTGATTGAGCCACATACGCATTCAAATGTCATCGTGATTCTTAATCCATGTGCACGTCCCTCAAACGGGATTGATCTTCAGGTCTCAACATACTTTCAAGACTTCCATAGGGACGAACGCGACGTTTTAACACATTTCGAGGGTGGTCGAGAAGAGTGAAAAGGTTTTTTTATTCATGCTAGGTATTAATCTCCAAGCCTTTCTATAAAGGCAAGTTGTGTGTGAGGTGTTCATGGATTTTTTCATTTGAAAAGCTTGTGTGTGTCATCCTAAACGGAATATAATACCGTTCAAGTCGTTACGGCGGCGAAATTTCAGTGTTATAGGGATTTTTACAATTCGGACACTTTTACCTTGTGCACAATGGTCCGTTTACCACTTTGTATACGAATTTGTATTAAGATTCGCTCACTTCGTTCCCGGCATAGCTCCTCCGCAGGCTCATCATCAGCCACCTATGACTCATAGCTTGCCGCCATCAGAGCCTCTTGATGCGGGTAGCAGCCTCTCACATACCCCTGATAGCGAGCAGGAGGTAGATTATCGACTCAACGTTAAGGTAACTTCATGAGTCTCGGTAATTTTTTAGATGTTCAACCATACTAAGACTAACAATGATGCGAATGCGTTGGTGCCGAGTCTTCGCCATATGGCTGTATCTACAGCTGAACCGCCAGAGATGGTGTCGGTGTCGACCGGAACAGAATCCCCTACACTCCGTGATGCAGCCTGTCAGACTACTCCACTTATTGTAAGTTGGCAAATCGCTGTGTCTGCATCAACATTTCTCTTTCAACTGACTCTTTCCTTTCTTTTTTTTTCCTATTGTTCCGGTCTGTCAATGAACAGGCTACGGTTGAGTGAAGACAAAATAGCTTGTTTCGACTGTTTTGCTTCGTCCAGGATATTTTGTTACATTATTCAGTAAGACAACTTGATGCGAGGTATCTTGCTCGATGATAAGGTTTCTCCAAGCCACATGAGATCATAAGATAACTCCTACATTGTCAACTTGATTTGCTGTGCTACATTCCGTTTAAGATGGTGTCCAAAAACCGTACTAGCTCTTGTAATGGCCGAAATCTTTACTTGTGGACAAACCGTACTAGCACTTGTAATGGCCGAAATCTTTACCTGTGGACGTTTAGACAATTACGGGTGAATCATAAAAAGGCGTGTCTAAAGACTATTCATACTCGTAAATTTTCAAATTGATGGCCATTATTGTTCGACAGAACTGATAACACGCACCAATGGAGTCGCAAACGTCTAACAATTCATTCAGAATAACGCGACATCGCCATTCGATTGCATTTTTATGCATCAGTTGTTCTTGGTTTTGTGTTGATGGAGGCGTGTGGTTGTCCAAATCAGTTTTTATTGACGATGTAACTATTTCAATTTGTTGTTGTCTCTTGCGCTCACTTATAAGAAGTCTTTCCTTTTCGTCGACGTTTTCGCTTTTCCAAAACATTCCAGAACATCTATCCGTCTGTGTGTCGCAGTATCCCCAGCGAACTGATACCTGACATTCATAAACATGATTTGTTCCTTACACTTTTCTTCTGCAATTCAAGCCTTCGAATTGACGCTATGTTCATAATTAACGTTTTATAGACAATCCATTCACCATACACTTTCGAGACACTCTGTACTTCTTCTGTAAAAAAGACTATCATTTCTCGTTTCTTCTGTTTGAGTCGAAGCATAATTCTCTACATCAAAAGAAGGGGCGGAATTTTCTATCCCTATCGCTTCACATCTTTTTAAGATTTCCGTGCTTTGCTCCACTTTAGATATAGTGCCAAGTGTTTGGTCTATGCTGAAGATTAACATTTTCAGGTCGCTGCTAAAGATGCTGCACGTATTCTTTCTGAACTTCTCAACCAGGTAGTTCATGTAACATAAGTTACGTTGAAATATCTGTATGCTGCACTTCATCTCCGCTACTGCTCCAGTGCTATGACTTCTCGTTTTTCTTTCGGTTGCTCCGTATATTTTGAAGAATCTAATTGTTATGTTGATTTTATATGTCAATATTTATGGCGTAATTCAAGTTATCGGTTGCTGCTCGCTGTCATATGCGACATGGAAATAATGAAATCTATTGAATTCATATGTATCCTATATTCCGTCTACTCTTATGACCGTTACTTCGATGTGGTCTGGACCCCTGGATCCGCGACTTCTGATAGGCAAAGTATTCGCACTGAATGTACCGATTTCATATTAGGTATTTGTTTTTTTCCCTTTGCAAATGCGTAAGCAAATTGTTACCTTATTAATCGTTTGAAATATGACAATCACTTTAATCGAAATAGCGCCTTATTGTTATCCTGTTTCCTTGTGGCCGTTCACATGTGTCCTTATGGCTGTTCGAGAGTGTAATGTCATTCGAATCTGCTTTCCAACGACGGTGCATTTCTGTTTGATGTTGCTCGTCTTCATGAAGGGGATGTATGATAAACCTCATCGCCCACCCACTGCTATCCTTACAGGACGATTGCTTTACATACGGTTGTAGATGGACCCGACCTTCACCCGCTATTTTTCCTGTTACTAAAAACGTTTAGCCATTGCCGATTTTCCGATCGACCGCGATATCAATAGCTGATCGTCAGCCGAACGTGCTTATTTCGTATGGCATAAAAATAGATATATCTGTTGAAGTTTGCTCGTTTCTTTCCTTTTCTTTATTTTTATGTATGGTTTACGAGTTTAGATGTTCTCAAACTGTTCTTAGTGCTCTACATATATTATGCGTGATTGATTAATGGAAGCGGTTTGAATAAATCTTCCGAACAAATGTCGTAAGCTCATTTTTTGCATGTGATTCAGCTCTCAGTAGAATATGGACAGACCAAGTTGGCCATTTGGGTATGCGAAAGTTCTCCCCGTAACTCAGATCAACGTAGTGTGTGTTGTGTTTATTTTTTTGAGACGACACTATCCTAAACTGAAGGGAAGAATCGAGAGAAACAATCGAATCCCGCTCTCTTCGAATCATTAGGCTGTAAATGAAGCGCCGTAAAAGATGTATGCTGAATAAAATTTGTTGAACTGCATTTTTTTTCTGCGAACTGCTCTCGAACTTCTAGGGATGATTTTGAAATTGATTCCCGACTGGCCTCATTCGATTCTTGGGAAGTGAGAAATATTTCGGTACTCGGTGGGGTCAAGCGAACAAGACGATTTTCAAAGTTCCGTGAATGTGTCACACAGTAAGCCGAATCCAAACTCAAGCGCCTCTAAGCAGACGTCACATATACGACATAACAAAAGGTACCCTGGGTGAGACATGCAAAATGATCGGTGGGGCGTGGGGGCTTTTATTTATTTATTCATAATAAGCCGTAGAAGACGACGTTGAGAAGGAAANAAACGTAAACAACGATCAGCAACACAATACGTTACGACAGATTACCATATTCTGAGAACAGAAAGTGACAACTATGCTTGTAAAATATTTTTACCAACTGCCCGTTTGAAGGAGCTCAGAGACCCTTGGATGCTGGGAGCCTTGCTGGTTTGCAAGTATGCGAGACCAGCCCTCACGATGAAAAAGCTTCTTCTTGTGGTTGTTTTGGGCCCAGAAAAGGATAATTGGTGCTAACTACGCCTTGTTTGGAAGTTATCACTGAATGGAAATCCGGTGTATCATGCCCAAGTCAAAGAGGTTGCGCCTAGACTGCAGTGAGGGAAGATTGAAATATTTGTTTCTCACTACAGTCTTTGGAACTTTGAAAGACAGGAAACCTCCCCAGCGGATTAAAATTTTCCGAGTGAAATCGTCCTTTCTAGCAACATAATGTTCTTCTTCTTGTTGAGGCAAAAAACGACAGTCCCGCTTTCCACTAGTGAAGGCACATAGGACCTATATGCATGAACAAGAACACTTGTATCCTTTGTGGTCAGCCCCTTGAAGTTCTGGTACGTACGGAATAATGCCGTACGTTGGATATGGCTACGATGAGACAAGAAGTCGAGTTTGTCGCTGTAACGGATGCCCAAATCCTTGACCTCTCCCGCTTTCTTGAGCTCAATACCTTTCATGAGTACGAGGTACCACCAGGGGAGGAACTCACACGCATGCGAAGCGTCTTTGTAAGAGAGAGGGGGAGTTGTCACTTTTCTGACCACTGAACTAGTCCACCAGCCTGTAAATCAAGAGAATCCCTGGAAGTCTTTACGACATTATAGAACTTCAGATCGTCAGCATATTCTCTACAAGCGACATCACTGGCTACAACAGCACCCTAGATCAGCGGAATAAATATTAAACAGTATTGGTGACAATATTCCACCTTGTAGAACACCACCTTGACATTTGAAAACATCAGGGCTAGCAGAGTTCATACGCACCTGAAACGTTCTGTCACTAAGAAACTCCTGTACCCATCTGCAAAATTTATCATGGAATCCCAACAACTGCAGTTTATACAACAGCTTTTTGTGGCTGACTTTATGAAATGCCTTTGCAAAATCAAAATAGACTACGTCCATACTTTGTTCATTATCTGAAGCCATCGCCCAATCGTTGAGCGATTCTAATGGATTCGCAACTCCGATTTTCTTTCTGCAAAACCATGTTGTGAGGACGGTATAATGTTGTTGTCATTCAAATACTGTAAGCTTTAA